AGGAACTTTAACACTTGGAACAGCTGCAGGGCCTCACTGCTCACCAGGGATTTAAAGCTCCACAGAGGTGTCGCCGCCTGTAGTTGTCTGAACTGAGGATTCACTGATGACATCCCATGGCACTGTAGCACATCTGTGTAAAACTGTTAGGTAACATTTCAATTTCACATAAAAGCTATTAATTTATAATGCATAATTTTCAATGAATACCTACCTTTAAATTTCCTGTTTTAATAATTACTTTCAACGCTGTCAGAACTCAATCACTCCACACATCTTAGGAAGCATCTGAAAACATCCCTGAGTTCACCAGTGACTGAAGAGCAGGTTCATTGCAACCAGAGCTCTCAGGGCTGCTAACAATCCTGAGACAAAGCAGGAAACATATGCTAACAGAGACATTAAGGAGCTAATGCAATTGGCAGGAGGGCAAAATGAGATTTTTCAAAAATGAGACATTACATGAGTTTAAATGTTTGAAGAATACATGAAATGACATGCTAGGTAATGAAGGTGCCTGAAACAGTCTGCTATTGGATGAACACAGAGGAGACCAGAAGGAAGGGAAAACAAACATCTACACTATTAATGCAGGCCACACATCTCTACTCTAGTGGCACCCAGGGGGCTGTTGTTAAAGTGTTATCCAATCCCCTTGGGAAGCAAAGGAAAAAGTAAAATAAACTGGAAACAGCTTTCTGTACAGACTGATCCTGATCCTGATCCCTCAAATCAGTCCAGGCTGAGAACAGGCAACGTCGATCAAGAGAAGCGATGGGACTCCAGCTGCAGTTCTGACATGATGTGTCCGGCGAACACTGAGCAGATACCTAGAGGAAGGCTTACCTCACGCATGGGCATAATTCACGTTTCAGAAGGGGGCATCTGTTGCGAATTTAATGTGTTGTGTGCACACATGGGGTCTCACTTGAATTCATTCTTCCTCCTCATCAGATACAGACCTTGTAATTTAAAAAATTGCATCAGAAAATGAAATTGTATTTTAAGAGTCTTAGTTTCAAATGTACTGTATAATTATTTCACCCTGGCGCGCTCGCCAACAAGGAACCGCTGAAGGCGGAAAAATGTTTCAAGACAACAGACATTTCCGGATGTTCGCGGGGGTGACTTGCCGTCTTGGCAAGAAACCGCAGAGCGACCAGGACACATTCCTCCCTCAACAGGCTGAGATAAAGCAATGGGTGTCCCGCCGCCATGATGACGAGATCTCCTCAACGAAGAGAGCTGTTGAGATCTGAAACACAGGAGAGTTCTCGCTAATGTTAAAGATCTGTGATTCTCCACAGCACAGATTGTCCCCGGCCCAGTAAATCGATGAAAACAACAGCCAGACTAAACCACTCCAAGAGGGAACAGCTGCAGGCTTTGAGGGACAATCGGAGAAGAGAATTCAACCTATGAAAAGCTGAGTGGCCAGAATTTCACCTGCTCCAAGCCCAGAATTGTGTTTCAGATGTTCATCTCCACTAGAACAGTACAAACATGCCAGCATGACAGCCGAAGCTCTGGAGCAGAAGTGAAGGGAGATGCCACAATACGGACAGCCTCTTCTTATATATCTTATTTACACGAAACGTGAAGTACTTCTGTCTATAAATGAATCCAGGTGAGCGAAGGCAAAAGAGAAATGGAAGAATTGGGATGAAACGGATCCACACCCATCTTCCTTCGATATTTCAAATGAGATCGGACTTTGCAAAAGAAGCTGCTTTCTGCACAGAAGCTGTATCTCATAGAAGCGGAGATCTTCCACTGGGGAAGAGTCACCCATTGCTCTCCTGCTCCACATGTGGCCATGAGCCCTTGCAGGTGTGCGGCTGCTGTGCAGGTGCTTCAGGGGTACGAGCAGACGCAGACACAGGTTCTGCACAGAGCTCTCAGTACAGCCAGGTATAGGAAATGCAAAAATGCCAGAAACAAAGACTCGAGACTGACTGTTTCTCTTGCTTCGGGTCTTCACTCTCCTTGCACAGCTGTAGAAATTTCCAACAGGACAGATTTTCCTCCAATTTCAATGACAACGTGATATATCTACTGAACCTAGAAAGCAAGGAAAAAATATTTTTGACCTGCGAAATGCTTGGTCAAAATTGAGGGGATTGTGAGATTAAGTGGCATTGTTCCTACTTATCTCGAGAGAAGAACCATTCCTCAGCTCCAATAACAATTATTATTTCAGAATTGCACCTCCTGATTGATTGTTGTTCTTTTTTAACATCTCATTTCGCCCGCGAGTTTCAGCTGGGACACTTGCATGACTTCTCTACAGTATCGCCACGCTTCATATCCTGCCGTCAGTAACAATGACGAAGTCTGTAGATGCCTCAGAATTATCACATGCTAACATAGATGTTCTGCATCGACAAATACTAAATAAAAAGTAATACAGCAAGCAAAATGTTTTCAAATTAAAGCCGGTTTTTATGTTTCATTGGGTGTGTAGTACTAGTGTAATACGTGCACAATTGAAACCCGGATGTTCGAAACGGTGCAAAATAAACAGCAAATCGCTGGAGTTCTGGCAGCGCTTTTGTAAATAATCTCCTTAATTGATATTTGGAAAATGGTTGCAACCATGTCATTACAATCACACACTGAACCCTGCCTCAAAAGACTGTTTATTTGGTTTCTAAACTTTCGGTTTTTAAAAAAAATCTTTAGTCGTTCGGCATAATGTGTTTTCGCCGTCGTCAGTTTGGGATTCCGTTATCTATAATGAAAACCAAATAGCAGGAGCAGCAGAGAGAAGTCCTTGCGCGGACCCACATAACCTCTCTTGGTGCTGTTCTTCTTGACTGTGAGGTAACCCTGCTTTATACGATGAAGAAAACAATCCTGACCTCAAAACTTTAAAAATGGCGAGCCTGTCGGACTTGCAATCGCACGGATAATATTGCCTTTCTGGAATGTTCCCTCTCGGCTCTCACGGTTATTAAGGTCTGTTAAAGTATAGCAAAGACAAATGTTCAATTTCCCAAGGATAATAGAATAAAGCAGAAACTGTCAGATACATTTTACTTTTTTACATTTGCAATAGTCAGAAATCCCTTTAGTTTAAGAGTAGTATATAAAAACTTGAAAGCCCTCAGGAAAGATTTGGTGTATGTAGTAGCGCCTGGCAGAAACTTTCGAGGTTCAATTTTCAATCTCTCGATAAACAATCACTATTATGTTTAATATTATTGCAATGAAAAAAAAGACCTAATTAAATTTTTAAGGAATCGAAAATAAACAGGATGAATAATTGCTGAATTGAGATAACTAAAATTATTAGCAGTATGATTATAACCGTTAGGTTAAACTGAGACCACTCATAAAAATTAAACACTGACGTGCACGAATACGGTAGGCGAGTTTTAGGTTTGAATAAAATTATGAAGTGCATAATACATAATATATTATTCATATAATATGTAAATATACGTTTATTGCAACTTGACGATTTGATTGCCTAATGTTTCTTTCATCGGGAATTAGGGAAATGTCGCCTTGTCTTAAAATATTGAACATTGAACTTGCGATAAGGGAATTCCGTGAGGTTTCGAATAAAATGCTGTACGATTAACTAGGAGCTGTTCTTGAGCCACTTGTGCCCGTTTTAAAGAATTTGTCTTTAACGAAAAAACACACAAACAGTATCTCAGCATAATTTGTTTTCGCATTCAATGATTTTTATCCTAAATTAAGAACAGCAAACTCCAGACAAAACATAAACTTAGAAGCTACTGGAGCGCACAGAAAAAGGGAACAAAATTCGAGCTCATCTGAAACACAACATCCAGGTTATTTCAATATAAATAAAGAGATAACTTAATATCAAAAAGAGTTTAATTCGAATTATTTTCTGTAATAAAACTTTAATGTAACTATAATATATTCTGTAATGAAACTGTTTAATTTCTTATTAATTTAACATTACTTAAAAGAAACTCTTACATTTCGTTTCACTATGTGGTGAAGAAAATCCTAACCATTTTAGGGCGAAGCGCAGATATTTTTAAACTTTTATTCAAACACAAATTAAATTTCAGAATCGACAAGCAGTTGAGTAACTTCTAAAAAAAAGGAAAAGAAAATCACGGTTCTGTCAAAATGTAGTTCAGATCGGTTCTCAATTTCGGTCAAGAGACTAACCGACCCGAATCCGAACAGAGTATTTTTTTTCCATCAGAGGAATGTGTTACATGCCTCCAAAACAAATAAAAACTTTATTTTTTAAAACTGTTTTTCTTTAATTATTTATGTTTTTAACCTTTAAAATTGAAAATACACAAAGCAAACACAAGGCAAAATCCCAAAGAGGTATCGATACTATTTTCTTTAGCGAAATATTGAGGTTAACATTGATTTTTTTTTTAGTGAACCTTTCCTATTTTATGATAAACACACAGATGTAGTGAAAGGCGCTTCAGAACTGTATCCTTTTGCATATGTCCCAGAGGGACACATGTTATTAATCTGGACGTTGAAAAAATACGAGAGAAATCCAATGAAAATTTAGACCATCTCCGCCACTCGCAGCCCGCCGTCTTTGATAACTTTATCGACCATTCGCATGCAATGGAAACAGCCCCAGCCGGCCACCTCTCGGAGCCTCCACTGTTAAAGTGGTACCATAAAAAGCTAATTGAAACAAAAAATAATCATAATAATTATAAACGACGCGAAGCGCACGTACTGTCCGTTAAAATGATCTGTATCGAAAACGAATGCATATGCGGGTGGGGGCACTTCTAGAAACGGTTAACGAAACGGGCGTCCCGAAAACCGGAGGCGTATCAAAGCAGGTGAGTTATGGCGGTGAAGTACAAACAAAAAGCCAACAACACAGCGACGCGATGCCTTTTAAGTTGCTCAGCAGACACCGCAATGCCAGGCAGCTGGAGGGTTAACGGGGCGAGTGATGTAAAAGTGGAACTCCTTCCCAGCTCGGTTTAAGTGCGGCTTCGTAGGGTTGCAGGCGGTTTAGGAATGCCATTTCGCCCCGCCCGGCGCTCTGTCGCTCCGCAGTGCTGTGAGGCGCTGTGCTGCTCGGCGGGATCTGCGGCGAGTCTGAGTCTGATGTTCTGCTAACCTGGTGTGAGGAGGTCGTTGTCAGCCCAGATGCATTTGAGACTTCTCGCATTTTTCACCCTGATCAACAGTACGGTGATGCTGAGCCAGACTTCACGCAAGCTGAGTGGTAAGGAGCGATACAATAAAAGGTGTTACTGTGTCTGGTGCTAGCAGAGCCCATGCGTGATGATAACGAGGAGGAGGAATAGGATTGTGGATGAGCGGGAGGTCCTCCACGTGCATGTCTGAGCTTTGTGTCCCCACGGATTTTGTGCGTATTTGGCAGTTTGGCCTGAGGTCAGTTTTGACGTTTCCACGCGAAGGTGAACTCGCCGTAAAGGTCAAACAGTTGTACCTTGCACGGACACCAGAAATCAGAGGAGAGATCTGTGATAAAGCGCCTTTTACAGGTGGTCATGATGGGTCTGTGCTGTCTACAGCCATGCTAACGAGTCTGCGACTTCTGATCGCAGAAGCTATAATAAATACTTGAATCCTGCCAAAAGGAGTTTTTCCTTTCCAAACCATTGACCCCCTACAAAGTACTCATTAGTCTGGGGTCCTAGTGAAACAATACATGTGTTCATAATCAAAAAATGTCAATAAACATGTCTCATTTTCTCATTGCTGTTCACGGCACTAAAAAAAAACCCAACAAAAAATATCACAAAAGGTAAAGGAGAAAGTATATATTTAATTAAATTTAATATATTTTTGCAAAAGTAATTTATTTCACTTGCTGTATGTTTAGTCTCAGAAGGTTTATTATAGCTCATTGATAATTAGAAGGGGAATACAGTATGAGTTATTTGATTGACTTCGAAACTCCAGTCTTCACCAGTGGAAATTCAGATAGATGCAGTGCAATGCAATCATTTGTAAAAATGAGCATATTATTCCTGTGCCTTAAAATAACTATGTTAATATTTAAACCATGAGTAATTGAATAATAATGAGAAAAAGGTGTACTAAATATGTCCAAAAATGTTCCGTAATTTTCAACGGTAATGTTTTATTCTTTTAACTCCAAGAGGTGGAGTAATTTAGCATTTATGTGAAGATTTTTCTCATGAGAAAAACAAATGATGGACGACAGGGTGAGATACGTTTAGCATTTCCAATGTCCTGATTTAATTCAATAGGTAATCCAGTGACGCTGGTTTATAGAGCTAATTTTATATTGTTTTTATGTTAAAAAAGAAAAACTCATATCCACATTTCTCATTGATACAGACCCTTGGTCCATAACTTTTTACTGCACAGACGACGGGCACATTGGCCTATTCATAGAAAGTAATTTAGGAAAAAGTGGCTGTATTTAAAGAAACAACTTGCTTATTGTTTTGCACAGATACCATATATTGTTTAGTAAGAATTGTATTGTAAGGGGTAATGGTCTCTTTAGAAATAATTCGGTTTTGAAAGTTTGTAAAAATGATATTGGCAGCACACAAATTCTGTAGTGTTTCGTTGTAGACTATATGTGCTTAATGCTTAATGTCAAAAGCGGTTGAAATCCGTGTGTCTGCTTCCTGCGTTTCTAGGTAGTAGAGTAACTGAGCCTCAGCTGCCTTGTGGTGAGGGATGACAGCCCTCTCGCGCTGATACCTGGGCAGTGCCCATTTCACAGGGACAAGGAGTCTTCCTCACACACAGGGGTCTTCTTTACGGGGCTTCCTTCAGGACCCGCGCAGTTGGGCGCCCTGGCGGCCCGCACCCCTGAGAGGGCTGAGAAGGTGTTGAATTCCTCAGACTGGGCTGGAGGCAGGTGTAGAGACAGGCGAGACAGACAGACAGACAGGAAACAGAGGAGACTCTTGTGCTGAGTGTTGTTGTATTATTAGTATGAATACGACTTGCCACTTACAAAAGGACCTTAATCCCAAAACTGGGTCAGAACCACATGTTTACTGAGAAGAGAAGCACAGATGAGAATGAGAATGAAATTGAAAGGCTGAGACTGGCTGCACTCACAGCAGATCATACAGTACTTCCCTTAAATTGGATTAGGCATGAAATATTTTTCTGCTCTTTCACACTGCAGAATGTGAATCCCAGTGCGCTCTGGTAGCAGAGGTGCAGGCATGGCGTGCTCCCTGCGGGACGAGGCCTTGTGATGGAAGGGGGGCTGCACGTACTCACACGGGAGAGGGTCTGCTTCCTCTTCTGTGAGTCCGGTCGTACGCTTACAAACTCTGTGCCACGAAGATACGGCGACACCCTCGCTGGACGGGTCGCGCAGAGAGAGGAAAACGAGAGGGTGGAGCGACTCGACTCTGAGCGCGTCAGGGACTGGAGCAGCGCAGCCATTTGGCGTGACGGGCTTGCAGGCTGTGGGTTGCTCTGTCAGGACAGGATGTCCGCACACACAGCCCGTGCCATGTTGGAGAAGCCTCCCAAGCCTGTCAGTCTCCAGGCTGCTTGCTTTCATGGCCTTTGACACGGGACTAGTAAATAACCACACAGCTGGGCTTAGACCAAGAGAACCGGGTCTCCTAGTTTACATACATTTTGAAATCTTTTTATCATCGACTTAACTGTTTTGTGTTTACAAGCTGGGTGCTTCTCAGCTTTATTAAAACAACTTTATTTACTGTACCTATTTAGTTACATGTACAGAGTATCTAAATTATAATTCCATCTATCAGCTGTAAGGCCATTAAAATACGTTGATCGCCTGTTGAATGAGCACACAGTAAGATGCAATTGCAGTTTTTTCTCACATTGCATTGACGTTTGAAATATACTGTAGTAAAAATGCCGGTGCATTTCCAAGAGCCCTTGGCTTGTTACTAAAGGAGATCCATTTCCTAGGGTACACATATCTGACCTGCTGTCAGACTGTTTCTTTTGCCTAGAAGGATGGTGTTTTATGATTGTCTGTGCTCTTAGTCTGGAGTACTTGTAGGAGCCCACTTTCATGTCTCTGTTTTATGGGCTGAGGAGACGGCACAGGTCTCTGGCGCAGCTTGAGAAGAGAGTCCAGGGAAAGAGAGAGAGCCAGGGCTATCAGCGTTCCTCGGGGCCTGCAGTTAGTGTCTCTGGTGTGCTCATCAGAGCACTGTCCTACTGCTGGGCAAAGGCTATGGTCTTTGGAGTTGAAGCAATGCGCAGTGTTTTACTACAGCTGACCAATCTGCATTCACTGTGTGATGAGAACTGTGAGAACAGTGATTCTACTGGAAAAATCTCCCCCTTCTTCAGACCCATAGTCAGATAGTTCTGGTTATTCCTGAGCAGCAATGATTTCTATCCCTGAATTCAGTTTTATTTTTTTTCAGTCTATAATCTGCCACTCTAAACATGTATGCATGGTCATATAATCTAAAAATGTGTTAAACTCCATGTATCAATATATTAGTATTTTTTATTAATTTGGTTGTATCTGCACCTATAAAAAAAGACAAACAGGTGAACATATTTCCAGAGAAGTGGTTTTGGCTTTCTTTCAATTAGGATAAGTACAAATGCAATATTTAAGAATTGAAACCACAGTTAAGACTGAGCAAGCATGCTTTATTTAACACCTTAATAAAATCCATAGTTCCCAAAAACTAGGAATTAAGATATAATGCTTTGAGCTTCAGTTGGTTTTGTATTAGGGAAAGATTGATTAAGCACCATTCACTTTATAATCAGGCCGAATCCCTCCTAGCCAGTCAGGTGTAATTAAAGCCAGCTGCTCCTTTCCTCAGCAGGTGATCATTCAGTAAATACCTGCAATGTAAAGGAAACGCTTCATACATCATCCTGCTCTCCTCACGGATTCATGCTCCCCGATCAGCACACTGCCATTTCTGCACCTCTGTACGGCGCTGAGACATTTCAACAGCAGTTTATCTTCAGAGGAGGAACAGCTTTTCCCTCATCTGTACCTCCCCCTCCTGCAGTCGGTGCAAAACACACACTGATAAATGGAAATGAAACAATGGTGTTGATGTTGATCTGACTGTGGCAGTAGAGCGCCGTTTTAATGAATGTTCTAGTGCCATTCTTAAGAATATCTTTTTCAGTTTCCACTGTGTCATAAAACGTATTGACGGCATATTGCCAGTGGAAACACCAGGTTATTATACGAGGGACACAAGCTGATTCTGTTAACTTGGACAAAAATCTGAGAGTCGTTTGGGCAAAGATAAAAGGTGTGATTTGTCTGGAAGCCTCTGTCAAGTTGTCAAACTAGTTGTCAAGTTGCCTTCTCAGAAGTGACCTATATGGGATCTTTATTCCAAGCAGGAACCTGTGTATTTACAGCACATCTTAATGTCATGCATGATGGAATCAGGCTAATTTACTCCTGTGAAACGAAAGATTGCAACAACATGGAGATGTCTTTGTCTGAGGAGCACTCTCTGAATTCCACAACATGAAGAACAGCTGGGCTTTTGCATTTACAACCTGCTAGTATAAGGGATAATACTGGGACGATGCTGGGCTCTGAAGCTGTTGTTTCACTTCAGAATTCCTTTCTCCTAGTAAGAGTGAAGGTGGACTGCAATCTGCATGGTCATCTGACTTTCATTTAACATAAACACGAAGAGATTTCGAAACTGCAGCCCTCTGTAATTTAAGAAAAAAAAGGCCCATTATCAACATCAGTCCTAAGGAAGTGAATTAAAAAAAAATAGAAAACAGAAGAAAGAGAAATCATAAAAAAAAGAAATCTGTCCTCCAAGTATTGTTTCAATTATTCGGTCTCGTAATTATGTTTGGTGAAGGAAACTTTAGCACGAGTTAAAATAGAGTTATTACAACAGAATGTTGCGTAATGTGGGACAGCTGCTGTAACTAACTAAATTGAGTTCTTCCAAACAATTGTCAGCTCTTGGTATTAGAAATAATAAAGGATAAATTGATTGGCGAAATAAAGTCATGGAACATGAATCGTAAACAAGGCAGTTTCATTATTGCATGGTCTAATAAACCCTTTCTATAAAGACTGTGGTGCTAGCTTGCTGGAAGAAGTATTTTTTAAACAGTGTAAAATTCCTTTCGGTAGTGGAGGACAGCATTCCTCTACAATCAGAGTTCCTGTTTCAGTCGCCACAAAGCAGCTAACATAATTTGGAAAATATCAATTTGCATTTAAGGAATAAACTTTATACATAAGCAGAGTATAAAAAACGTACCCTAAGTACAAACTCAGCATTACACGTTTTCTGTATGATTCCTTTTATGGAAAAATCCCTCTTTTTGTTGAAGTTAAAATAAAATAAAAATAGTTCAAATGAAAAAAAGCTTTTACAATATCGCAATAATGCCAAAGCATATTCTTTATCAATAAAGGAAATTGGGAATCATTATCTGGAGCAGAGCATGTGCTATTAAATTTAATCTGGTGTTTTATCATCAGTGTAATTTTTGCCGTAACTTTTAAGACATTTTTTTCCCCTTAAAACCTAAAAGATGCAGAACGTGTTGATGTTGTAGAAGCCACATGCAGTCTGCTCTTATTAAAGAGATGAGATAAAGACAGCATGACTTTGTTAGGACTGCAACAGCAAACCGCTGGAGACGTCGGGTTTGCAATGGATTATTGTTCTGTTGCTCAGACAACGGGTCATTTGGGGTCACGGGGAAACAAAATAAGTGAAATTGGCCGGGATTAAAACTCGCTTATGACATAAACACGGTAACGTTGCAGCTCGGGCCCAGGCTGGTAATAAAACAACAAATAAAATCAAGGAGCAGGCAGAGTTGCAAGTCAGCGGGACGCTTGAGGAACCCCATCTTCAGACAGGGGCTCCCTCCCACTCCGCCCTGACTCAGGATGGGGTTTTGATGAGAAACACGTGGATCTGCTCCTGCAGGATCTCCTGGCCCTCCTCAGGGCTAACCCCCACCCCCTCAATCAAGCAGACAGGATTGTGCTTCATTAGTAACACATTTTGCGGAGTGAGAAGAGGTTCCTTCTGCTCGTAAGGAGGAGATTTGCGCCAGGAAAGCGGATCTGAGAGAACAGGACCTGCGTACACGCTGTGAGCTCCAGTCGCTGCAGTGGCCGACCGGCCTGCTGCGTCCTGAGAGCCCCGTTACCGCACCAGCGTTACAGCGGTTGGAGGCATTCGCTGTTTTTTCGTGTTTGTCCTTTACGATAACAACCTCAGCACAGTCAAAAAGACTTTCATGGCATAATGCCCTTCATATTGCCATGCGAAATTCCTGCCCTTCCGAGCAACATACTGTAGTTTTCTGAAATGCTCCTCGGTCCTTATGCGTTCCTTAGTAAAAATGTTCTTTAGGTAGTGTAATGTAGGACTTTCGCATTACCAGCTGACACAGGTACCTCTGTGGTCGTGGATGCCTGCTTTTCTTTTCCTCAGGGGATTTCCATGAGTAGGAAAAAGCCACCGTTAATTAAAGTCAAACATGCGGAAACAGGGGAAATGAAAGATTTAATGTTTTTCATCTCCAGTGAAATAACTGCAGTTATTTTATATGCTGAGAAAGGAAGGAGAATGATATTTCAGAGCTCCTGTGCCCACTTTCCCTCCCTGCGGAGATGGTGTATGGAAAGCGCAAACATTTCCATTGTTCAGCAATTATGTTTCGAGTAATTTCTTCACTGGAGGGATCTGTCACATTGTTTCTGTCTGTTTTCCACAGAGAAGGGAAGCTTGACGGTCTGACTCTGAACTCCTGGAGGTCAGGGGTGAGGGAGAGCACCTCACCTGGACTGCCTGCTCACACCACACCATAACTCATTCCCCTCCACAGACACAGAACACACACGCCATTGACGTTTCTCTGAGTGAGAAAATGGAAATGTTTCTTAGACAGAACCATAAACACTGTCTCATTACTGAGAATGCTACTAGTCTGTCCCTGATGCCAAAATTAAGGGCAACCTTTTACAAGAAATTGTGAGTAATGTTTACTTCCTAAATTACAGGGCAGGATGCCTGTGCTGTCTTCCTCAACTTTTGCACAGAAAAAAATCACATAGAATGAGTAAAAGGTCATTCTTGCATGCCTTTTTTCCCCTTGTGCTGAACACGGTGCATCAGGTGCTAATAACAGTGCAGTTCAGCTGAGTGTGAGCAGCCGGTCAGAAACCACACTCCTAAATAAATGATAAATGAGTGACAAGCACCTTGCAGTTACCTTGCTTAGAAAGCAGCACAGTCTTTCTGTGTAGAGAAGAGAGGCCAGGGCTCTTGGGGTTGAGTATGAGGCCTTGTGTGTATCAGGGCTTTCTGAAGGACACCACTCCTGACTCAGTGTGTGGGCCAGGGGGGTGTGAAAATTATTCTGAGTTTGGGTGTGGTGGATGATGGAGTCACACTAGATTGATCAGGTACTCTCTCTGTCTGCTTGCCATAAGATGTGTCTGTGCCACCAGAACTGACACAAAATCTGTCCGTCACTGGCGATTGGCAGGCTATGAGGAAGTTGTGATTTAGTCGAAGCTGGTGTTCCCGCAGTCCAGTGTGAGACCAGGGGATCATACAGCTAATTCTTTACTCCCTGTGCTGTGAGCGAGGGTTTCATCAACATCACTGGACTGTAGCACACACCAGCTATCTCAAACAGACCATCTTCCTGGGCTTAAGACAGAATCGATTAGATTTTGTGTGATTATTGGCTTGTGATTAAGGTCATAGTGCATCTTAATATTTGTCAGTTAAATATTGCTGACAACAGAAAATGCCTGAACTGAATCAAAATATTGATCTGCACAGCATAGGCAAGTTCTGAACCCATTCGGGCTGGGTCGTTCCATTTGCTAGATGTTAGAACCCTCCGGAAAAAAATGCCAAGATGCCAAGATGTCTTGGAGGCTGTTGTGGGTGGTGTCTTTCTCCTGGTAAAGGAAAGTGTCATGTGGGCATTGACAAGCCTGTCAGGAGGATGGCTCAGGAAAACAAATAGAGCCAGTGATGGAAGTTTGATTTGTGCTGAGGCAGGAGTCAGTCCCTCTGTGAATCACAGTAGAACTTCGTCTGAAAGCACGGAGGTCTGTCTGACAGGCTGGTGCAACATTGAAAATTATAATTCTGGAAGCCTTACTCAGAAAGGTGGAGGTCCAGTTCTGTGGGCCAGCCTCAAGATTGAAGTGAAGGGCTTAAATGAGAAGCTGTCCGTCTCCACCTAGTCATTAAGTGGACAGTAAAGACCTAGCCTTTATTCTTTTATATATTCCCTTGGCATCATTGTTTAAATCACACAGTAGACTGGACACTGGAAAGGCCAGCGGATCCCACAGGATAATTAGGGCAAGGACAGAGGCCTCTCAGAGCTTCATGATTTCTTTAATTTACAATGGCTGCATAACATAACAGAGAAATTGAACCTCAGGGCTTTTTTAAAACACAAATATACATAAATATATACAGAAGTAAGTGCTTGCTCTGTTGTCTATCATCTGCCTGTGTAATCCTAACTGTTTTCCCTTTGCCTTCCACATATTTGTCTGCAAACAAGAACAGGCAGCCATCAGCCTGCAGACAGCTTGGCAGGCTGCTCTCTTTATCCCCTGGTCACAGTGCAGTACGTCACTGCCTCAGTATTCAATGCAGCTCTGGCCTCTGGTGTCTCCTCACATCAAAGTTTCACCAAATAATATGTACTTTTGAATTATTGTAGTGCAGAGAACAAAAGAGCAGCATTTGGAGATGTTGGATTGTATAATATGCGTATTCCAGTTGGGTGCAGATGATCTTAAAGACAGATCCCCAGTGGAGACGCTGCCATATGGAATTAGTTTCTGTGGAGATGTATACTGGATAGTTCTCATTTTAAAAATGTCCTTGTGAACCTGTAGTGAACGAAGCTTGTGTAAATTTTAGGTTTATTCCATGCTGAAAAAAAGAAGAAAGAAAACACAACGTTTCGGCTGTGGAGCCTTCTTCAGGTGTTAAGTATTAATTATTAAGTATTAAGTTAAGATTAAGTATCAAACAGGACAACGTGAAGCCCGTTTTCAGTTAGGACAGGTGAGAGGTGAAAAGTAAAAATACTGTGTTTATGACAGAAGATAGGTTACAAACAAGAGGAGTTCATTCAGCCTATCTGGCCTGTCTGGTAGTTTGTATTGATTCACAGGTCCTTTCCAGGCATTTCTTGAAAGAAGCCAGAGTGTTTTTTACACCATGGCTGGGCAGCTTCTTCATTAATCCCACAACTCTTTGGGTAAAGAAGTGCCTCCTCACCCAGGAATCAGATATATTCCCTGCATGAGATCCGCAGATCCGCAGATCCTCAGATCTTCGGCTCAATTAGCTACTAGCAACCAAGTGAGGTGTATGAGCTGGGTGGCCTCCACCTTCTGTCCACACTCATGTTCTTGTTCTTCTAACAGATCATCTGATCTGAAATTTTCAAAACCAGAATCGCTATGATGTGAGGATTGCATTATTGTATACAGTTGTTTATACTGGTGCAACTGGTCCATTTAGTGAAACAATCACAGAAAAGGAACAGACTTATCTTGACCTATGCCTCTGTATGCGGTCATGGGCCTGGACTTTTTATACCAGATTCTCTCTCCACTTCCTGTACCCATTAGTCATTCCGGAGCAGGGAAAATCCACAGATACCATTTGTACACTGAGGGCGCAGAAGCTTGTTGTGTGGAGCCCCGTTTCGCAGTGCTGTGACAAGGTTTAGAGGTGATTCTGCCGCCCATAAAGCCTTGACAACTCTGGCTTGTTTCTGCCAGGCTCTGCTATTAGTCTGGCACCGATTGAAAGAGCGTCACTCGGAGCACAGCTTTTATCTCCCCTTGTTTTGGACAGATTCAGTGTGAAGAATCGGCAGAAGTTGTAAGATGGTCCCATAGGATCTGAAAACACATGTCTGTAGAAGCAGAAAATGACAACCAGCTGGAAAGGGCTGATCCACACTGCCCAGCAACAAGAGGTCATGAAGGCCCAGTCAGGACTGGAGAAAAGCCTTGCTTACGCTGCTGTGATTGGCTCTGGACCTGAGATCAGCCCGTGCTGCTGCCCCCCCAGGGACACAGTGCTAGCCAGCAGGTGGCAGTGCGCTCTGGCCTGTCCTCTGTGCAGGCCGTGATGGTGTCCTTGTGCTTTGCAGCCAGCAGGGACGTGACAGAAGACTGTAAGGGCTGTCTGGAGTGCTCGGGGGACAACGGGTGCCTGAAGTGCCCGGAAAAGCTGTTCCTGTTCATCCGCAGGGAGGGGATGCGGCAGCAGGGCTCCTGCCTCCACGCCTGCCCCGCCGGACACTTCGGGCTGCGCGGCCAGGACGTGAACAGGTGCATCAGTAAGTCCGTTTCTCTCTCCTGCTGCGAACCGCAAGCTCGCTGGGCATGTCTGGGGTCTCCTCACACGCTGCGGACTCTGCTGTCTAATATGTTATTAAGGCTAGGCTTTTCAGGAACTTTTTGACATTTCCATTTTTGCTTTTTTTTTGCTTGAAAAATTGCAACAAAACACCTTTTAAGGTTAATTGCTTGTCTTAAAATGGTTTTGACACTTGCTAATTGCCTTCTTGGTTTGACCAGAGGTAGGTGAAGTTCTGTGATTACGATTACCTATACTAGTGAGATCTATACCTGCGATTACCTACACCTGAGATTACCTACACCTGAGATTACCTACACCTGTGTTTACCTACACCTGAGATTACCTACACCTGAGATTACCTATACTTGATTACCAACACCTGTGATTACCTACACATGGGATTATCTTTATTTGTGATTACCCATACCTGTTAATTAACTGTTTAATTTGTGTGTGTGGATTAATTGTTAAATCAAGGCTGCCTTGAATTGCTTCATTAATAGAGGCTTTTGGATAGAGGCTTTTGTGTTGTCAGGTGTGTTATCATCTCCTGAAAGAAAAACAGAAAAGGGTCAGTCTATTACTGAGTCCTCCTGCTGCACAGCTGCACTGTGTTTCTGAAGTGCTGCAGTCTTAAACCCACGGGATGTATAATGGGAACAATTATCTGGGTATGAACGCTTTAGGGTGTTTATACCATCTTCTGAAAATAATTAATGTAATAATTATTTCATTTAAATTCAATTATTGATTATTTTCTTTGGAGTTGCCAAGTACTTTTGATTGAACCGTTTGTGGTTTAGAATCCATGCTCATTAGTGAGCTCTTGTAACCGCAGTGTCACACAAGCAGAGCAATGAAGAGAACGGCCAGATGGCTTTCTAGAGAGACACCTTTCTCTGCGCCGACAGTGAGGCCCTCCGCTCTCCCCAGGCCTGGGGGCACCTGGCCAGTCGCAGTGGGCTGACCGCCCGGACTGCATCTTGACTCGGCACAGGACACACATGCACTTCTGTCCCGAAAGGAGTAGTGAGAATTTTAAAATGTAGAGCAGCTACACTGCATTCTGTGTCCAATCCTCACATAGTAAATATGTCAAAGAATCTGTTTCATGTTACTGGAACCAGGCAAGGGGCTGGCTTCCTCCTGGAGAATGTGTGCCAAAAGAGCAGAATTCTGCACTGGAAAAAGACTGCTGCCTTATATACATTTATTTTCAGTTTGGTGTGTGATGTAGCCTATATTGTAATTCACTCAGAATTACTTTTAAACAGAAGCTAATGGGTGAAATCATCATACACCTCATGCATTCCAATGATGAGTTCCTTGATGGTCATCAGCAAATGTTGTGTTGATGCCAGTTCGACAGGTTTCAATATACAGTATAAGGCTTCCCCTCAGGATTAGATGATAGCCAGAAGTCTAAGCACGATGTGTTGAACATAATTGCTTAAGGAGAAGCAGGTTCAGATCTCAACACTGATCTTCTCACAGCTCAGTGTTGCTCCTTATTTGCATATTACATTAAACCCAGAACAGGAGACACTTGTCTACCTACGGGGCTGTGGGAAAATGGCCATGTGGTCAAAGCTGATACCCTGTTTTTTTTCAAGAACCAGCTGGATTAGATCCTAGATAACTTTCTAATGGGCTAGAAGGGCAGAAAAGTCTCCTCTCCTTCATAACCTTTCTTACGTTCTGATCCAGAGTGTCTCCTTACTCCAGCTTTTCTGTTATATGTACAGAGATACTTCTTACAGCATATTTCCATTTCACTCCTGACGTTGAAGTTGATGCCAGGGCTTATGTCTTATGTTCTTGTGTAAAGTTTTTACACTAGAGCAAAAGACTCTTGGCAATTTAGGAAATTTGCTGCTTTGAAAAGCACTGGAAATCGATGTTTAATCTGTTAGTTCTTTGTCTCTCTTAGAATGCAAGACCCCCAACTGTGAGAGGTGTTTCAGCAAGGATTTCTGCATGAAATGTAAAGTAGGTTTCCTGCTGTTTAAAGGCAAATGCCTGAGCGACTGCCCGGAAGGCACTGTTCCTCACCTGACGGACTGCGTCGGTAAGTGCTTGTCCCCTGGCTTTGATGTTGACCTGCCAGAAATATCTCAGCTGTCATTTAGCTCAGCAGCTTTCTGTAACTGCTATGAACCTTTCATATACGCAGATACCCTCCCATTAGAGTTATAAGACAGGTTTGCAGTTTGCAGGAGCCATTATGATGACTCCTTCAGTTATGTGACTTGATATAGCAGGCTTTTAAAATGTACTGGCATGTGTTTTTATCATAAGGGATGTTAACTCGAGTCTCTTAAATCATCACCTCGTATGTATCTAGTGCAGACCAAGCAAGTGGTCAGTCCAGCTAGGAAGCTGTAAGCTTGGAAGGAGTGGATACAGGAGGAGCTTGTGGCCCCAGAGGTCAAGAGCTCTTGTTCTGTCTAGACTGGGGTGGCTCAGTCTTTTCAGCCTTTGCTGTCCTGGGTGTGTCGTTTCAGAAGGGTGTGAGCTGGGCTTCTGGGGTGAATGGAGCCCCTGCAGCCACAATGAGCGGAGCTGTGGACAGAGGTGGGGGTCACAGAGCAGGGACAGAGAGCTGTCCAGGAGGGGTCCTGACGAGGCCACAGCCTGCCCCCCGCAGAGCGAGACCAGGAGGTGCAGGCTGAAGAAGAGGTGCCCTGGAGGTAGGAGCAGAGAGCAGATGACACTGAGGCAGAGCAGAGTTGGGTCAACTCTGATTGCTGAGCACACAGGTGCAGCTCTGTCATGGGCAGAGGTGTGCAGGCTGACAGCTTCAGCTTCCAAATAAGAGGAGTGGAAAACCTTCACATTCCACCACTAGAAGACATTTGATGATTAAGAAAAGGCTGATCATGAAGGGCTGGAATCTGATGTTGCTGGCCCACATGGCCTTCATCACCGTTCCAGAGTGCAAAAATCTTGGATCCCTTTTTTATCTGTTCTTTGATTTTAAAAGATTACCGTAAAGTTCTCCATAGTCATTATTGTCTTATACATACCATATGCACAATGCTTAACATCATTGAGGCGTAGATGCAACAATCAGTAATACAAACCTTAGGAAACTAAGCATTTGTGAGCGGGGACACTTCTCTTTATGTGCCTTTGAATGCAGTGGCGCAGAAGCTGATGTGCATTTTAGGATTGTAGGGGGAAGGGTTTTGAAATGGGATAAGGATAATAGTGCTTGATTTCATATTTCTAAAAATCCTCTGTGCTGTTGGGGTGCATGGACACATACTGGCATCATCCCAGCGTCAGAGGGAGAGTGAATAAGGATGTCTTTCACAGGGTGGAAACACCAGTGTTGTGCACTTCATGCCTGGGCTCCCAAAATCAAACTCTGTCAGCACAGATGGTTCAACATCTGCCCGCCTCCAGGACTTTGTTGCTCGGTGGATGGATGTGCTCCATGCCATGTTGAAAACTGCTTAAAAGAAGAATAAAGAAATGACTGATGTTTATATTGCTTTCTTCGATAGGAAGGGTTTTCCTGTTTGAGTAGATCACAAGTATTTTTCTCACTGACGACGCTGTGCTGGAAAGCATTTGTTCGCCGCAATTATCATTATCAATGGCAGATCAGATGTCCAGTGGCATTAAGAAAAAATGAAAACACAATCTGAGTTACTTCCATTTGGAGCAGCGATCATGAGAGTTTAATAGCATACATGTGTGATGAAAAGACACTGGGATTTTTCTGAAATTATTGCTCTCGAATGAGAAAAATTTTACTTTATTTTCTATTTCCATTAATATTGTTTTCAGATGATTTTTTTTCTATTTCACATTTGTTAGTAATACAAAACCTTGGCTCCTGTGTCAAGGGAAACCCCTTAGCTTCCACGCCATGACAACGGCTTTCGTCTCTAATAAATTTCTCATCCAGTTCAGGGACACCAGCGTGCCCTTGCGAGACATTTCACCCTCTTTCACTGTAGATGGGATAATTCTGTGTTTAAATTCAAAGCAATAGTCCAAACCAATACTTCCAAACCTTTCCGAGTGACCTCACTGCAGCTGTGGTTTCACTCAGTTACATTATATTGGATCTTTTACTGTGTTAATCTGGAACACCTCAAGGCTTTTTAAATTCCCTTTCAGCTCTTGTAGATGTCACTTTGTGCATCAAATCTTGCAGGTACCATGAAATCTCTCCCATCTCAGGCCTGTGTAAGAGTGTTGGTAGTTCAGCACCAAACTGACTAAGAGTTCATTTGCTCCAGAGAGACTGGTTCCCAGGAAAGCCAGTTTAATGGTTTTAAAAATCTTCCAAAGGTTTATCCTCTAATGCTCTTGCAATGCTGTGCTGTGCTGTGGAAATGTGAACTAGATTATGCTTAGAGCAACTGAGGTTTAAGCCAGTATTTACTCACCCTGCCTTAATTACTGGAAAAAATGTCAATGATTTTTCTCCAAATGTAAACATTCGAGAAGTATTTTCAACAGGCAACCAAACAGTGGTTCCCTGGTCAACAGATAGAGTTACACAACAGCAAGGCAGTCTTGACTGGAGTCTGTCATCTGTTCATGGTACAGAATCAGACCTGACATTTATGGCTGTGCAAAATACAGTCTGTTATTACGCAGTTACTAACTGGAGCTGACAAAGGTTCTGAGCAGCGGTACAGACGGCACCGGAGCTTGTAGAATAACAAGTGTTACCAAGCCATATACTGTGACCTCAAAGCCTAATTCTGTACCAAGTGTGCGGGCAATTATATAGGAAAAATCCCTTTTTGCCTCTGTCACCAGCTGGGTTCTGCATTAATTGGGCAAAGAGGGGAATCTCATGAACACACAAGTCCTAACTAAACAGAAGCAGAGTTGCATGACAGCCTAGATTAAGGGCTGGAGGCTGCCAGCTGAGGAGCTAATTGTCTGATTGCCCAGCCAGTCAGAAGGCATCTTGGGTCTACATTCTCATGCTAATAACTCAAGCAGCCCAAGCAAACCAGCTCCCTGGCTGGACTAGTCAATTACACAAGGAGCTACAGTATGTGGTCCCCCACCACTGCAAACAGTATTTGAACATGATTGCTTGTTTCCCCTGTCTTTACCAATAAGGGCAGAAGTAAAGAGGAATTATTTCATTCATTAGGAAGCTCTCTGGATGTTAAACTGCATGTAAACTGCTCTTAACAAGCTTGCATGTCATGGAAGAGCTCTGCTCTCTCCTGCTCCCATCACAGCGGTTTTAAAAAAAACTGCTTCCCTCTCCAGACTCTCTGCCACAGATAGGATACCAGCAGAAATCTGATAATACCACAATCCCATTAGAGTAGCATATTTATTGTTGTTTTTAGCAAATCTGCTGTATCCCGCCTTTAGGATTTATAGTGTAATTTTGGATGATGTCTGTCAACGCTTAATTATGTCATCAATCACGTCCAATGTGGAGGCCTCAGTCCTGGCTGTGACCTGCCCACAGAGAGAGAAAACGCCTCAAACCTCCTTTGATCTGGGTGGGAATGACACCGAGCTCAAACCTCCTGGCCCCATTGGAAAAACTGGAATAGGAGCAAAAATCTCTGTCCCCTTTTTATGGATAACTCATTCTCTTTCTAATTCTGCTACAGCTCATTAGGAGTTGTGGGAACGTTGTGCAGACTGGAGACACGTCGCAGGCTGTGTGCTGTCGAAAAGCAGCAGCCCAAGGTGTCCTGCACATGTGGGGCAGGAGGAGAGAGCGTCCTTTCGCTTATTTACTTAAAGCTTCCTCGTAGACAGTAAGGCTTTGAAGGTTGCAGTAAATCTGGGGTTTGAAAGGAAAGCTGTCACTATTTTTCTTTCTTCCACCCCACAGATTCTTTTGTGGTATTCAGGAGAAAGAAAGGATTACTCTGTAACCAGGAGTCCTGGGAGCTTTAAGCTGTAAAAAGCTTAATGTCAGATATCCTGGTTACAAAGTAACATATCAAAAACACTTACGTTGCCTTTGAAAGCAATTTTCCCTGATAGAACTACAATATATAAGAATCCAAATTCAGTTCACACATATGGATATCCCATAGCTGAAATAAGAAAAGGGGGTAGTGATGTCATAGCCAAATATAATTTGTTTCAGGATGTTTTAGAAAAACATCCCTCAGCTGCTTAGAGAGAAATGTGACTACAGTGCAGTTATCTTGCAGTTATCTAATCTTTACAGCACTGTGATTACATTTCTTACTTAATAGCTGAAGAAAGTCTTTTGTCTGAAACATTCTGGAACAATTGAGTTTTGAATCATTGAACCCTGTGTGCAGCATCAAAATCACATTTTCTCTTTCAGGTAATTAATTTGTTAATTGAATTAATTACTTAATTTGCTCACTGTGGTTTAACCTCCTCTTAAAACCTGTATATACTGTACAGTATATATATGTGTGTGGGTTTGTGTTGCACATAAAGTGTGAGAGAGAGCTCAGACACATTTGGCCTACCAAATATACAGTATTCTGGATACCTCTGATATTGGGATAGTTACCCTCCAACATGCTTTACATAGAGAACACATCACTGACTCCACTAGATGGTCATTGATGTCCTTGAACAAATGGGCTCCCTCTCTAGATGTGGAAATAATCCCTTTGGTTCAGTAGCTTCATGTGACCTGAATTGTCCTTCCTGCTGTTGTTTTCTTTACTCTGCCAAACACTGCCTGCAACCTCTTTGTTTGCCTGAAAAGACACTTTCCCAGCATGCAAAGATAAAGTCTGGTATGCTAGTGCTTTACAGATCCCATTCTGGGAGTTATGGGATTAAGGCCCAAATGCTTGGCCGTTATTGTTACTTTGGACAACTCATTCCTGCAAATCAGATCATTCTCAAATATTTGCACAGGGCAATTTATATTGTATGTATGAGTATATTTGCAATACACACTTACATGTGTGTATTGGGAGACTAATCAAGCTAACTGTTCTGTTTTGGAAACAATTTTATGAATGAATTTTTTAAAATTTATTGGTATTTAATTAGTTCTTAGATTCCACAGAATGTCTTCAGTTCCTGAGGTCACAGCCTAAGCTGTTACATTTTTTCACGGCTTTACTGATTTTAATTACAGGAGGTTATCTGGGTGAAATCTAGTCGAACCTCTGGTTAACTCAACATCTGTGTTCAGTACAGTATAATCTTCTTAAGTGGAGTCCAAAAGCAGTCTCAAACCATACTTTCCTAATAACAACATTAAAACACTGATCTTAAATAAGCAAATCAGTTACAGTAACCAAAACATTTCATGTTAATGAAACCCATGTGGAATGAGTCTTTTTCCTTGGTTTCCAAGCTGTTGACAACCTAAGGGTCTGACCTGGAACTGGCCTGACAGTCTCAGTATCTCACCCCATGCTCAGGGCACTAACCTTCTTATTGGGATGTGTCACAAACCTTGCTAATTGCTCATAACAGAAGCAGGCTTGCAGCACAGAGCGGTGAAGTTAATTTGCCTTTTTACAGGCTTCTGAGGCACATGCATTCAGATCAGCAATTAGCAATGCTGAGAAAAAGAGCAAAAAAGAAGACTAAAGTGCACTTCTCAAAAATAATCAATAAACCTATGCAAATAAAGTAGGGTAGTAAGCATGAACTAGTGCATATACTGTAGTTTTTATTCAACTTGCAGGTGTTGGGATTAAGAGTCACAATGTGAAGAATTTGTTATGATAAGGAGTTACTCTTGGTTTTACAGACTGCTCCCTTGATGTTACTCATAGTGCTCACAGGGTGACACAGTCGGTCGGGGCTCCTGGCAGGAAGTGGCGTGTTTTCAGCTTTATAAATGGCTGTTACCCCTGACTCCAGCCCCAGCATGGCAGTGTGTCAGGGTCTTGTAGGTGCTCAGCTAGAGGCCTCACTTTATAATCCAACTAAACAGACAGTGCAGCTCATTGACGCCCACAGCTGTCACAGCACACACACTGCACACGGGTCTTGGTTAGGGTTAGGAGTATGGAGTGGAGGAGATTTTACAAGCACGGAGGCTGTGTGCTGTAAGCTTGCCTCACTGCTATGGACATAGAGACTTTCTCCACTACAAAAATCTGCTCCACCTGTTCAACCTAGAAAAAAAAATAATTGATGACCATCTTAGCTCTACATTTATTCCTGTAAGATCAACTATTTTACAAATTTTTGCAGAACTGGAACTAAATCTGTCTTGGAGGTGTGAGAGTCCCTCTGCTCCTCAGTACAGACATCAGAGGCAAAGTGAGGCCCACTGATCGTTTTGAAGATTGCCGTCTGCAATTAACCCCAGTAGGGCTCAAGAGAACGCATGTGTGCATGTGTGGGTTCCCTCTGGACCTTGCGTTTGGCACCTCTACTTAGCCTGTCTGCTTACCTCTTCAAAGTGTCCTTCCTCCTGAGTGGTCTGCAGCGGTCAGAGAGATATTGGTTTACACCCTCCCACCAGACACCCGACCCCCTCCCCGGCCCCGACAGAGAGGCAATTCAGCACAGAAGAATCCCAGCTAGACCCCATTTACTTTGCAATCATCTGAAAACTGCTCGCAATCAAACCAAACTCTTCACATCAGAAAATGCCAAAATCATGTTTAATACAGGCCAGATGAGCATAGGGGTGAGCGCTCCTGTTACAGACCTCCCTGAGACAGAGTTTCCACTTTCTGGTTCACTGTAGGAGAAACACGCAGTTACAGAATGATGATGATGGTGATAGATTTTGGATCAATGCCACCCTGCCGGTGACTGTCCATAGCCACAATCTCAGGAACCCCTGACATGAAGCATTCCTGTGTTTTGTTCTGTTAGGTTTAGTTTGAAAGAAAAGGGTCATTACCAATCCCTTTGTTTCCTGGTGGGAGTTCTGCATTGTTGTGCCCACATAATAGGTGATAATGATAGCTGTGAATTAGTCAGCTAAGTGATATTACGTGGTAGGCTTTGTCAGTGCATGCTCCCTAGAAACCTCTCTGGAGAACAGAGGAGTGATTACCAAGAATCGAGGCCAGCTGATTCATTCAGACTGCTTCTTTCTTTAAAAAGTTATCCATAATTAACATCAGGGTGAGCCTAAATGTTTTTGTTTCTTTGGTCTTCATCAGCTGCCAAAATCTGTACTGAATGGTTGTTTAAATTGGTCTGCAGTACAGGGTTGCAGACAATAGCTGCAGACCATAATGTAAACTTATTCTAGATATATCTCACAAATTACACCATTCAATCCCTAAAAGAGCCTCTTCACTAGTGATTGCCCTAGGCCCAGCTGTATATAGCCCCTGCTGCAGCTCAGACCAGTGCAGGAAGGAGGTATTATACTCAGGGCTTGTGGGAAGATGGTAGGATTGAAGAGAACATTAATGCAGAGTTATGAGTTTGAAGATAATTCTTTCTCTTTTGTGAATTCAGAAAACATGTCTCCTTACATGTAGTTATGATACAAGATTTTGGAATATTTGCTAATATACTGGGACTTTCTTTTCTATTTTTTAATTGTGTTTTAGTAGGCTTGAGTTCAGGCAAGACCTTGGAAATCATACCAGGGGTAAAAGCAAGCTACCTGGTCTGCTGTCCGAGCTCAAAGCTATCCAGCTAGCACTGGATGGTCAAATGGTCCTTCCTAGATATGTTCTCAATTGCTCTTCCATGTGCTTGCGGTCCATCTTTTTGCGTTTTGATTGATTTGATGGAATGGAATTTGAAGTTCCTCTGCCCAGAAGAGCCGTGTCTGTGGAGTGCACATGTGTGAGGCACCACCTGTTCCGCCTGTGGCGGTGGCCTGAGTCCTGCCTGGGCCCCCCCCTGGGAGGCGGGGAGGTGGGATGCGTAGTCGATGGCTCAGTCCCCTCTCCTTTTCAAAAACAGACATAGTGGCAGATTTATGCAACAATATTTTAAGACATTCCACTGATGGGTGACGCATTAGGGTGTTTATTTTGCAATCTTTAAAAGAGTCATTTCTCCAGTAATCCTGAGAAGGTTTTTCCGAGAGTGCTTTGCATCCTAGCTCTTATTTTTCCCGTTTTGAAACCCAAGCTGCCTGTGTCGAATGAAATTTCAGAGACCTTCGTGATTGGGCAGATGTCCAGACTGATGCAGTGGCATTCCTTGAGAATACTGGAACCTTTTTTAAGGGAATGGAATGCTTACCAACATCTTGCTCACGACAAACCCTTTGTTGTCTTTTGAAAGCCACATATCTGTCGTGTAGTTTCTGTTAGACTGCGTAATTTCCGTCACATCCGGCGGGATTTTCCTGATTCCATGAAGATAGGCTTCTCTGGCCAGCTCGGGACCCTGCTGACCTGAAGCCGGCTCCGAGCAGCCAACGGGAGTTGAGGGCTGGAGAGCTAAGCGGGTCTCTGTGTTGTGGAAAGTCGTCTTCCATTATGTGGTAAAAAGGATGAAAGAAAAGGCAAAGCATCATGACAATAAATCCTAATTATCTATGATTAAATGTCCTGAGGACGCTTTTTGGAAACACATGGGGAGCCCTTTCATCATCTCATGAGGAGCCTGAGCCCCTCCCTGCACATGGGAATCGCATGACAGACCTACGGCCAGCAGCATGACAAACTGCAACCAGGTTCCCTTCCTCAACCACAAGCCCTTCAAGAGGCCCTAATGAGTCTTTATTTCATTTTTATTGTTAAGGCTCTTTAAAAAACATATTTTGTTTTTGGCTTCGCTCTATGCAAACAGACCCCAAGGTCCCCTGGGAGAGTTCTTTGGGAGTTCAGGATTTCCTCTCTCCCAACCGCAACCGATATCTCAAGGAAGCGTCTCTTAATACCGAACTGTTTTCAGATCCATAAATCTCGATGACCACTGTCTGTCAGCGCGCCGCAGGGAGCTGCGCTCTCGTTTTTCAGCTGGATTAGGAGCAGACTCTCGTGGTGGCGTCCTTCATCCGCGGAGGGGCTCTGGGGGGTCCAGCATCCCGCGTGACTGGGAACTGCGGCTCTTTCTGCTATCAGATGAGAGACCAGAGGAGAATGAGCCTGTGTCCAAAACGTGTTGGTCCAGGGGTCCAGATCCATCAGGATGTATAGGTCACCAAAATATGGAACAATTCAATTGTATAAATTGAACAGGAGATCTGTTACATTAGGCAATTTGTAGGTCATTTAGGACAAGAAATCTGAATAATCTTCACCCATCAAGGACCAGAGTTCTGTTAACTGCACGCTTCATCAGTAGCTCTCTGGTGTTGCCGGTCTTTAGAAACAGGAGATTAAGGTGCCTGTGGCTTGGCAGGGCCAGGCTGAAGACCCTGCTCTACAGAGTGTGGGGTTCCCCTGGCTGAGATCCCAGAGGGGTCAGACAGGCTGAGGCAGGTACAGACAGGTACCGTATGTGAGGCAGGTTAGAGCTCTGTGTCCAGACATGACCACAGGTTCTTTCTTCCAGCAGAGAAAAGGAAGAATGAGAAGAAGAATGGAAGGAAGAAAGGCAGGAAGCAGCGGAAGCCACAGGTCACTGCTACGGTAACAGCTCAGGCCAGCGCCACGGTAACAAAGCGGGCAGGCGCCGTGGTGACAGAACCTCCGGGAGGGACCTAGAGATGTCAGGAGGCTGCGACCCTGGAGCGAGTCCGAGGCAGCAGGGGCTACTTGAACAGTATTGTGTTGTTGGTTTTTCAAGTGCATGGTTTCACCAAAAGGATCCGATTGGAGAACCTCATTTTAATCACACGTCCATGACTCTATTCTCCAGGGTTTTCACAGTTGTGCCTGATAAGAAATAAAAATTCTCACAGCTTCAGATAAGTATTCAGAAACGTAAAAATGGTTATGAACACTACTGAAGACATTTTTATTATCGTTGTTGTTGTATAAATGGCAATGCAATTAATATTATTTCAATAACAACTCTTGCTGTGGCTAGGATTCACTTTTGTCCCACTTTTTTCTTTTTAAGCTGTTTGAAACAAAGATTAACATTCCGATCAGTCCATGACTGTGCAGTGATAGAAGTTTAATGTTTAGCTCCTGTGCTTATTGTTTAATTTAATTTTACTTCTTGGTATTGGCTCAGCAAGGCTGTCTGTCTGCAGGATTAACGTTTTTGAGCACCACAGCAATATCGTGCCTTGTGTAAAGAGTGAAGCCAGTGGAACTTCCTTTATCACTATCAGCAGTCTGATTCCATTAAGGGGACATGAGCTGACAGTGGTCACTGCTGTTTTGATAACAGACTGTCTGAGAGCTTGTGGAAAGTAAAACGGGTTGTTTGTGATGGACTGAAGGCCACTTAATCGATGCTCCAGCTTGCAGGAGTGATTACAAGAAATATTCTTTTCAGGCTCCTGCCAGTAGAGAACTGAATAAAATCTGCATTAATAACTGTTCCTTCAAACCTGTTTGAGCTGACATGCTGGTCTGCAGGTTGTGACAGACTGGTATTGGGCCTTTTTCTTTGCACAATAAGCACCACAGACTTATTTAAAATTTACAGAATGTAAGAAAGGTTACAAATGAGAGCAGGTCCTACATCCCATCCACTGTAGCTCATCTGTGTGCTTGTAGCCATGTGATCTGAGGAGCTCAATCAGCTACGTTTTTCAAAATGCCAGAGGGATGGTTTAGACACCTCCACAACCCTTTATGGAAAATAGTATTCTTAACAATACTGGATTTAGCATATATAGATGGTATATTATTATTAATATTAATATTATTATTATTGCCAGTTTAAAGTCATAGTTTTTCTGTTCCCTTCCATTTCTCCTGTCAGTTCACTGAGAAGGTCAGTGGTTCATTTGGTGGTGTTAGTGGGATCTCACAGTTCGGCTAGATGCTCTCTACAGGTACTGAGGCTGATGGGAGTTTGAGGGCAATGGACAACCCAGAGGAACGTACAGGAGGGAGCTCCTGTAACATTCTTCTTCCACAGGGGGCTTTCAGATCAGGAGGCAACAGCCTCAGCATTGCCAGTCAATTCCATTGCAAGTTTAATCCTTAATCATTTGATCAATCCCCAGTAATAGAATGAACTGAGCAGTTTTCATTCTGCTCCAGGGATGATAAACAACAGGAACAATTCCAAACAATTCCAGTTCTACAGGATTACTAACATTAAACTTATCTTTGAGTGCTTGATGCAGGAACAATTTCATCAACTCCTTCTAGCAAGAATGTGGGTACGTCTCATAAGACACACACTTCAGGCTGGTGTCTGATCTGAACTGTGCCTGCAGCCCCACCCTCCACCTCCCATCAGCTCACTGGGGGTTTAGATTAAAGACAGAATAGCCCAGAGCCCCACAAACGGCTCTTTCAGGAGTAGCCCAGTTTGCTTTTATGTACCTCCTGGTCCTCGCTGAGCTCCTGAGACAGGGCAGAGGGGGCTTTGATTTGGTTTGGCCCCGGCCCAGTGAGGTGAGGCTCCTGGGAACTGTGTGGCTGTTCCTGCGGTGACTCAGCAGGGCTGGGAGCAAAAGCTTTGATGGCCGGAGCGCGCGTCTGCCTCCCAGGGAGAGCCATGCCCTGCTCCCACCCCCGGGAGTGGGTTGAAGACGTACGTGTCCCTGGGCCTCCGCCTCCATTCCTCACGGAATTCTTGGACTGATGTGCACTTTTACAGGCATTTCCATGAGGAAAAGAGCTGAAAAATGTTTTTACAAAAAAATGAAATACAGAGATATCCCTATTTGCGCTTATTACTCTTCTATTATTTCATAATAAAATGCAAAGATAAACAAATTATTTAATAGTTTTTAAGTATATTTATCCAACAATTTTTAAAAGTATTTAATAACTTAATACTTATAAGTAAAGTATATGGGACCTTTTGTTATTTGAATGACTTTTTAATTAAATGCGAGTTCTGTAAGAAAGCGTGAAGTTTTGCTGTGGCAGTGTCTCCTGTTGACACGTCCCATTTCCCCAGCTGATGTGGAAAGGGCACAATGAGACAAGAGATCCTTAGAAAAGATCAATTTTTAAACTGCTGGTCCATCAAAAACTTTCTGCTTAAGGTTCAAAAGGTCATTTATGAAGAACAATAATGGCAGATGTATTTAATGTTTAATGCTTAAATTATTGGGATTTGTTAAGGCTAGGTGTTTTTGTGTGGTTCTGCATTGGAAATGTCCAGCTGATATGCAGCTCAGGTACTTGGCAGCAGAGGAGATGCAGTTGAGCTCAGATGACATGTTGCAGGAAGGTTCCAAATGTGAAAGTTCCAGGTTCCAGGTTTATTCAGAATATTGTGCCTGGGGCTCGTGAAAATGGGGGCCCGGGCCCAGCTTGGGTCAAAGTGTGGGCCAAGCTCAGTTCATCCTGGTGTTGGACCCAAAGGCAGTCCAATACAGGGGCCAGAAACCACACATTGTTAAAGAACACTGAGGATCTGGCTACAGTACAACATAAATGGAGTTTATAATGCACGTTCGTGAGGGATGACAACAACCAAGCTCAGACTCAGCAGTCAGTAATGAGCGATCGCTCCTGATTTCCAGTCCTCTCCCAAATGCTATAAATACCTATGAGAGCCCCATCTCTCTCTCTCGCATATCTCTTGCCTCCCCCCTCCACCCCTTCTCCACCTCTGCAGCTGCCTCTTGGTCACCCTGCATGGGGGTCCCGGCCTCCTTGTCTTCTGGCCACGCCAGTTAAGCCACAATTTCGCTCCATAATCCTTTCATGACCCTCTAACCTTGGGTGTTGTCATTCCTAGTGAAAACAACTCTTTTTGATGCAACCTTGTACATGCCGTGTATTGTATTTAATAGATATATCATATTTAACATTCATTTTGATTATTATTCTTTTGTTTACAGTGGATTTATCTTAAAACAGATGTTAACGTGGTACATACTGGCTGCAGTGCATCTGCCTTATCCTATTTAAAAACTGTACACAGCATTTCTGTAATGGCAATAAAGTAATTTAAGATGTTCCACGTGAGATTTCTTAAAGTTTATTTTCACTTACATTGGGGACTCTTTTAGTGTTTCATTGAGTTTTCCTCACGGACTCCGGCGAGTCTGCAGCACAAGCAGGGGAACAAGGGGAGCTGTGAATAAGTGACGTCACTGCACAGCCATGAGCAACCGGCTGGAAGAAGAGGCAGGCTGTGAAGCTGTGAGGAGTCTCAACTTGAAAGTGAAAATACGTAGCAAGCTCACTCAGACTCACTTATTTAATTAGTGACTGGCCTTAATAAGCTTCTAATTGGAATGCACAGAGATTTAAATAGCAGGGCATGAGCTGTGCCCTTCAGCAAATTCAGAGAAGGCGCCATGGGGTGTAACAGGCCTAGTCTATGCACACTAATAGAGTAAATTATACTGTTATTGAACAGAGTCATTGCCAAGCCACTGCACTGAAACCAATTTCGTGGAAAAGTGAATACAATTTAAAATGTGTTCTTGATAAACAAGCTAATAAATGCACAAATAAAAATTAAGGAATGCATGGCTACATGTGAAGAGGTGAGAAAATGAATATTGTTGATTTAAATAGTTTTTAAAAGAAGCCTGTGTCACTGCTGATTGACAGCAGTCTTTTCCTAACATGGCTAATAGTTTAGAGAAGCTGCATTTTTTTTTTTACTTTTTCTTTACCTGTTTCTTTGCTCTTCCTTGATTCCAAACTACCCAGCTTCAAGCAGATTGTGTCCAACAGCTTCAGCACACAGATCTTTCTGCAGTCTCTCCTCAACAGCTCCTCATAGCTGCTAATGTGTGACCAGACACAGGTGAGAGGGACACGTCCTGTATCAGACACGCCCACAACGATGACCTGTGCGTTACCTATAAGATGACAATCCTGAATGAGGGGTTTCTGAAGGTCAGACATTGGTACAGGCCTGATAGAGATTATAAGACTCATTTGACCTTTTAAAATCTGAAAGGAAATTTAAAAACATGCCTCAGAAGGAAATTTGAAATCAAGTAACCTATGATTAAGAACTTGGCTGGAGCAAAACCTACTAGACTCAGGGGAACCCTGGGAACAGGGTTGAGAACTCTTGCCCTAAATCAACTATTTATCATACTTAATTGATCGCATTCCGCTGTTCTTCGTCTTCAGATTATGGTTACCCGTGAAACCTGTTTCACTCTCCAGCAGCAGTTTGAGACGCTTGCGCTATACAGTTTTAATACTGCAACACCCAATCCTGTTTGTCCAGCTGACATTCACTATAGCAGAGTTTATCTTAAGAACTCACTGCTGGTGAGCTCCAAAGATAAACTTTAGCATCTCCTTGTGGGCACACATGGTGCTCACATATCCCATAGCAAGAGGGAATTCGTGGGCGATCTTTGTGCCTTTCAGTGATTGTTCACTTTTTTAATAAGGACAGTTAACAGTATTTTAGCAAAACTGTAAGATCAATGCATACAAATTTCACAACGTGAAAATGTAAAGGTCACATTGGGATGGAATGGAAAGTATGAAAAAACATACCCAGAGGTAAATCTTGAGATTCTGATGATGTTACTCTTGTTTCCAAGTGGAATAACGCTACGGATGTGGGAAAAACAATGAACTCATGTGTTACGTCTTCCCATTTTCTCCTGAACTAGGATCATGTACCAAAAACGAGACAACTGCCAGCAATGTCTGCACAGCAGCTTTGTTCCCCAGGACGAGTAATTCCCACAACATTCTGGAAATAATAGAAACAAAATCCATGTGATCTGAGGAAGAACATCGTCTCCACACAGGAGGTGTCCTGGGTCAGAACGAATCCAGAGCTCCAGACCTGTGAGATCATCACAAACCAGACTTCACAGACTCTCTGTGTTAAGTCTGTTAACACACACAGCTGTACAATCTGCTACTCAGAACAATACAGACGCACCCTGTCAGTGTATCAGGCATCATTTCAGATACCGGGTTAATAACTAGGATATAAATCAATCCTTGACAACAACAACAAGCAACGTCATCCTTATTTTACATAACACCTGTCATAGTATAACACTTGTATAACAGTATAACATTGAAACATTTTATCGTGCCAATTAAGGTGCGGATGATTTAAATTTGAAGATGCATAAATCAACCCTACAGTATAATCTTATTAACGTTTAAAGTCTCAATTACTTTTTCATAACAGACAATTTAACTTTTCCCTTAGGTGCATCATTGCCACTAGGAAAGGAAAACGAGCCCTATGTTTAGTCTGTTCACAGCTTTTTTAATTAACTGCTAAAACTGCTATATCTGTTCAATTTGTTTTAACTACTAATTAGGAGGTACAGATACAGGTGGCTGGTAACTGTATCAAACCCAGGATTAGCACACACAGCTCTGCATGGGTTCAAGCCCAACACATCTGCACACACCTGGGATGGACACGGTAGTCCACCGACTAGCATGGCACACAATCGCTACTGGTGGTAAATTCCATCTCAGAATCAAATCAAATCAAAGTTAATTTATCAAATGCACAACAATACAGCGTGCAGCAGTAGTTGTTGGCAATGAAATGTCTTTATGCCTGCCCGTTTACCCCTCTTCCTACGACGCTGTCTTCATCCCAGTACAGGTACAGGTGAGACACCACAGTCCAGACAGTCGGCAGTAATTATTGGTGTAGATTTAACTGTGCCAATATTCGATCTTATGTCTATAAGTGTTTGTCGGTCATATCTAATCACCGAGCAAACAGTATGTGCAGTTAGCAGTACGAAAAACAACAAAAAATAAAGAAATAGACAAAGACGAACGGGAGCTCGCAGGACTGCAGCCTTCCCTGTCGGCGCCATCTTACACGGCGCCAGCATCCTACCGCAGTAGTGTTTATTGTGTTATTTAATCAATGACAGGTGAGTGCATAGAGACACCTAATAGTGACGGCACACACACACCAGTCTGGCAATACAGGTTCGGGGTCTGTCCTGCACAACGCTCTGGAGCAGAGTGATGCCAGTAAAATGAACACGCAACAATTTAAGGATCCATCACGTATGTGCAATCGAATTCCTCCAGGGGGAGCCAGAGTCCAGACCAAATGTTTTGACAGCTCCCATCCTTCCAGAGGAGATGTTCTTGATGAACACTAGGTGGCAATCAAGCTTTAGACAACAGCACTCTGTAGCAGCTGTCAGAAAGTATCTGTCCTGTGGGCCTTGTGTTGAACAAATGGAAGGAGTGTGATGACATTTCTCAAAACTGTTCTATCCGTCTATATATATATATGTACTGAATTTCTCTTTCTTAAAAGTATATATACACTTTCAAACACAGAGCTTAGCCCAGTCTTGCCCCCAGATGGACCATGGGAGACTGGGACCATTCAGTTTCCACTAAGGACACACACTGGCCTCTGAGGAGGGTGAGGAGATTTTCTAAACCTCTGTTGTGCTACATAATTATCTGGAATCCTTCCTGATGCTGTTAGTGGATATTAAAAGATTAGATGACATTTCAGTAGATTTGTTAGTGTGATATTAATTACAAAGCTTTTAGCAGTGTTGTTTGGCCTCCTTTCTTGAGGACTGAGAAAGTTCCCAATGATCTGACTTCCATTTCCATCCTTCTGTTTCTCTTCTGTTTTTTTTTTTGCTTTTCATCATAAATCCTATCCAGAGAGTTTACATCACCTTTGATTCAGAAACCCCCATATGGAATTGGTTTACTCTGATTAAAAACATTTGACAAAATAGTTAAAGGGCCGCACTAATGAGAGAGATTTCTTAAAGTACAGTACATTTTAAAATTTCCAAATGAAGATTCAATTAAAAAAGAAAAGAAAGTTCCCTTTTCCCCCAGGATGAATTCATTTTATTGGCTTTAATTTGTTTATGTTTCTGAGAGAACGTACCTTTAATCTGTTTATATTAGAAGCTGGTTTCACTGGATTGAGAAGAATAATTTGCATGACATTCTTGTGAACCAGGCCCTGGCATGGAGATCATGAGCCACGCACACACACACGCACACAAATGCACACACACGTACACATATGCACACACACACACATTCTGTCCGCATTCAGCCGTGTTTACACTTTACACGTGTTTCCCATGTTCCTTAATGCATGTTTGCACAGACCCCTTACAATGGAGGATCCCTACGATTACTTCAGCCTTCCCTGCTTGGACAAGTCTCTTTTCCTCCTCAGTGAAGCTAGCAGTGCCCCTCGCACGTCTGGAATAAGGAGAGTGAACTCCTTCAGGACTGGCAATCTGGAGGATTTTAATTCTTGGTTCAAATTCTTATCTAAATATCTTTTCAGTTAAGCAAGTAGTTCAGATGATGGAGAACATCAGGACACCGTTCAGTGTCATCTTCCCCACGGAGGCTCCCAGCCTGTTCAGACAGACAGGCACCTTCCAGAGGGGGCCTGCCTGCTAATGACTGAATTCCTTTCGAGAACACGAGGAAGAATTGAAAGTTCAGAATCTGAAAGTTTAGAATCTGGCTATGTCCAGCATCCTTTAGATCCTTCTTCAATCTCTCATTATACTGTGTTCAGGAACTTTTAAGCTGCCTGAGCAAATAGCATTCTTTGGAAAGACTCTCATACTGGAGCTACAGTACACTCCAATCCCCTGACCAGTGTTGATTGGGAAAGATCAATATTTACCCAGTCCAGACTACAGGGCTCTAAGCACAGTCCCTTGTGAACAAGGAACAGCAGCTTTGCCTAAATAAATCTTTGTTTCAGATCCCTGTGATTGAATTCTGAAACCCACTCCTCTCTGTGATTCTAATCAGTACAGTGTCCAAATACAAGAACAACAGTAACAAAGAAAACATTCAAATTCACGTTAATTCAATTTAGTTTTAAGACAATCTGTACTTCTTAGTTCTCTCAGTAAAACAAACAAATAGAAAAATTCAGGTTCTTCCACAATTCAACCCACAATGCTGGGGTGTAAGAGCTTGACTAAGCCATCTCACAGTGACACAGAACAATGTCTTCTTCGAGTTTAAGATGCACTCTTCAAAAAGCTTAAATTTGTTCCTAATGTGGTGTGAAACTAATACACAAAAACATTAAAATAATCTAGTGTGGGGTTCCACAGTCACCGCATTATCATTTTCTTGTACTGTCCTTCTGCTCTTGAAGCCCTGTAGAGTGTATGTCTTAACCACATTTCCTACACATCCTGTAGTGTTGTGATGCACCATCTGAAGGTGCTATCTACAGTAAATACTGATTATACTGTGTACAGGACACTCCCACAGCCAAAGATAAGAGATCAAACAGTCTGGAATCCAGAATGGTACCAAGGAAAAGGCACTTACTGGAAAGTTGCGAATTGAGTACCACAGTCCAGGCATTGACGATCTGCATCTGCTCTATCTTTAACCAGTCACAAGCAGACATCTTCAGCACTGTGTCTGATCCTCCTGTCACTGCCTGGGCTTTAGCTACCTGGGGCATTCTTGAGTTGTGACACAACTGCAGTTCCCGTGACGAGCTGTCAGGGGAGCCGCACAGTTCCTCCAGCACAGATCTTCTGTGAGGAGCTGTGAGACTCGACAAGTGTGAGAGGTGTACACAATCCTCACCAACCCAAGCCCCTAAGCGCTGGAATAAACATTGTACCACTTTGTCATCTTTTTTCTGTGAGCATCTGATTTATATTGAATAGTAGGAAAGAACAACATGCTCCTGTATTTTCTTTTGACAATAATCTGTTCTGCACAGACACACCCTCTCTCCAATGCTTCTTCAGTCTTTTGTCTCCCTTAACTCCCCTTTGCCTTGCATTCCCAAGAGCCACAGTGGAAAAGAAAAACAAATCCAAAATTATGAAATGCAGTAATGTTTGTGGTAACTCTCAAATCATCTTTGCTGGATGTCAAAAAGGTCAACAGCAAATTAAGTTAAGAATAATAATCAATGTGCGTGTTTGGTCTTTGCCTAACTCCTGGAAAGAAACCACAAACATTTCAAACAGTGCTCCTCGGCAGTCCAGGGATTTATGGAGCTGCCTTTATGTGCAGTCAGACATCCCTCAACACCAGGAGCCCAGGAGCCCTGGCGGTGCCACTGAACCTGAGCGGCGTGAGTGGTTGGAGCAGGGTGCAGGATCTAGGGGGCCCTGGGGGAGCGTGCAAGCTGCTGTCCCGACCGCTGCGAGAACAGGCTGCAGTGAAAACTCCCCGAGAGGCAGTTGAGCTGGACTCTGCAGCTGCTCGGCAACATTTTCCCATTGTGCTTTCCTTGCGTGTGCAGACCAGCAAGCTCAGCAGCTGCTGAGAGTGGCAAGTAGACTTCAGGGGCTGTACTGCCATATCTTCTGTGCTGTTTTGGTCACTAGCTGCCTTGGCACGATCTCATCACTCTCGGCGCTCGCAGGTCAGGATGTACAAACAGCACTTCGAGAGATGAGGACAGACAGATTGTGACAGGAATGTGACGGGCCTGGACTGCATTAACAAGTCCCAGTTGGAAATTAAAAAGGAAAATACTGTTCCACACTGTGAACGGTTTATACAGGTGCCTTTCAGAGCTTTAATTTAATTACACATACCCTCCTGCAGTGAGAGAGAGAAAAATATCTTCGTTTTCATTTAAACAAACACCTTCTTATGAACTGCCTGACCGGAATTTTTGAGGGGATGAAAGTTGTTCCCAGTTGTTAAATTCCATGTCAGTTCTGTTTGGTAGCACTATTACTGATCTCTTCATCTGTCTAAGAGAGCTCCAGATACAGCTCAGGTCCAGAAGGGATAATGTAGTTTTAAGAGCCACCTGAACCTCCCTTCTAAACTGACAAAACTGACAAATCTGTAGGAAGGACACTGACAGAAGGCTGAGCAGCTCACTTAATGAAAACTGAGAATTCTATGAAATAACACATTTTTAAAGAAATTTTGGTAACAAAATTGTTGGTCAGTTACCAAACACCCTCTGGAGTTCTTCATATGTGTAAGCCTATTTTACAATTGTATTAAAAAACAGCCACAAGGTTAATCCAAATAGAGATGAATAGGGAAAACAGCTGGACTTTCCAAAATTTGGATGTAAGCTTTATTAGGCAGAAATTTAACTTCATTCCACTGTGTAATGCGTACCCTCTAAAATCCTAAATGCATTTTTACTATTTAATGATGATTAATGATCAAACTCAACAGATGTTTTTTAAATTCTGAGAATGCTGCCAAGCCGAGACTATGCTCAGTGCTGGAGGTCAGCGCTTGAAGTCAGAAACACTGCAGCTTTTCCCATTGTGTTCTGCATGACCTTCAACGACTTATAGTTTCACTCTTTTATTGCATCCTTTCAGGGATTTTTTTAAACAAAATCCTATGGAATTATGTGATTGGGAACAGCAAGAATCTGATGACAGGATTCCCTCATGAATTAAAGGGACTGCTTTCGAAAGAGCAGTAGAGAAGAGGTGTGAAAAGACATCAGAGACCAGTGAAAGCAGGAGGACAGAGAGCTCAATATGTAAAATGAAGATGAAAGCCCAAGTGCAAAAGACATGTTCATACAGAACAAATGGAGATATTCAACATATATTTTAAGACAAGTGTAATTCGAAATGTTACTTACAGACACTAAAAACACATTTAATACTCATTTGTTCCCTAACTGATGAAACATCAGAGTGGCTCTATAATGACTTTTTGAACCATAGACAAAGAAGAAACAAATTGGTGTTATAATAATTCCAGTGGCCAGAACTTTACATTGATAGGAATCTGCTATCACAGATTTTGCGGATTTTAATTAGAAAGCTATTTACCTGTACTTACTCGGTACTGTTACATATCTTTTTTAC